ACGAAGAAAGAAAAATATATTCCTTGATATAAACAGAAGTCCTTCAAGTCTCTTTATGAACCGAAGATCACATAAACATTGCATAACACAATTTTTAAAATACGTCCATTATCAAAGAAGAAGAAAATTAAATACGAGTTTAGAAAAAAATAAAAAAATTAAATACGTAGTTGCTTCTGTAAATATTCCATTTGTCTTTGCTTTTCCTTTTTAAAGTGAGCTCTCAAAACCGGTTTAGCTGGACCGGTTCCATGTAAGGGCTTATCATAATGGGCCGCTTCGGAAACTGAACTTATTAACCTTCGGAGACATTTTTAACAGCCCTTTTTGTTTCTATTAGATTTTATATTAACATGTTGTTATCATTCTCTATAGAGCTGTCAAAATGGGCCAAAACCCGCGGGTTAGACCCGACCCATCCCACCACAGGACGGGTATGGGCTCAACAATATTAACAAAAAAAAATGCGGGTTTCATGGGTTAACCCATGGCGGGCAAAACCCATAACGGACTGCGGGTTAACGGGTAATCCGCTAAATTTTCATATACATAACATTATTTATATACTATATTTTAGTATTATACATAGATTCTAGATATAGATTAAGATATTTTAAATAACAATAGTTAAACAGAAATTAAAAAAGTAGAAACCATCAAAACCCTAAGACTAATTGTTGACGGCTACGGCATCAACGCTTGGTTCTTCTTACTTCATCGTGCTTCATCTTTGTTACACTTTTGCAATCGGAAAGTAGCAAAGCAAAGAGGTAAACAGAGAGGTAGTCTCATACCCATTCCACACCCTCCTTCTCTGTGATTTTCTACGTGTGCTTATTTTTGTTTAGTTTGAAATTTAAGATTTGTTTAATGATCTGTAAGTGATCGTTGGTTAATAAAGTGATGTTTATAAATTTCTAAAACATGTACGTTATTGTTTGAGTTGGTTAAGTTATGTGTTTGATCTTTTATGATATCAATAGATTTGTGTAAAGTTCCCTCTTCTTATTGTTTAATGACCAAATTATTTTTTTTTTTTATTAACAGGAATCCTCAAAATGAAATCTCTAGATTTGGAATCTCAGAGAAATGTGGACGCCGCAAATGCTGAAGCTGAACAATGTGAACAGTTTGCTGGAACTGGATCATCAAAATCTCTTAAAAGAACTATCTCTGAAACTGAAAGTGATGAGGAAAAAGAGTTACCGGAGCCGGAAAAAAAAAACATAAAGGGAAAAAGGAATACTCAGCGGTGTGGCAACATTTTTCTGCGATATATAAGAAAAATAGCTCGGGGAAGCGCAA